AAAATCCTTTAATTCAATCAGAACTGAGCTAAATTTTAGGAAGCAAAGAGTGGGAATCAGATACAGGACTGCATAATATTGGAAGCTAAATATACAAGATATTAAGACTTCATAAGAAGCAGATGGGGTCGCCTTGAGGTATTCTTGTTTGAAATGGCTGCAATGAACATTATAATAGCACTATTTTGTCCTTTTGAATTAAGATAGTTTATGCAAACAACTCTAAATTGTACAGTAGTTCCAAAGAGACCATTGACGGTTTTCTGCTTGTTTTACATTTTGGAACGAGTTCAAAGCTTTTGATTTTGCTTGACTTTTTTTTTTTAATAGGCTGAGCCTTGAAAGTAATACATGTTTGATGAATACGATTTCAGTATTGTGTTTCTGTAAAAATTTTCAGGTATGAAAATAAGGTATGTTTGACCCAGGGTTCCTACACAGAATATATCCACAGTGTATTTTAAGTACAACAGAATGAACACATCTGAAAGGATAACCATTCTTTTGCTTTTTATTTTCTGTATTAAGTATGAAAATTAGCATTATAATGCCTCCCAGAATGTGGATATTGAAAAATATACAGAAATAAACATACAGAAAATCAATTGGGTTAAGATTGCATTAGTTACCTGAAATTTAAGCTTACGTTCAAAATGGCTATTACTGGATTTTCATGTGTATTAGTTAAATGCTATGCTTATAAGATTTTTTTTCTTAAATTATGACTGAAAAAAATTGGATCGCAGCTCTTAATATCCAGGTGGGCAGTGCCCTTTGCCAGGATCTTGCGTATAACTCTGTTTTTTTTCCTGTCAAACACAAATACTGCCTTGCTACTAAGCCTTCTGAGGCATTTTGAGGTAAAAATAGGGATACATTTAAAAAAATGGTTTCTTTTCATTTTTTATCTTGTTTTTTAGGTTGTGGAACTTCTAGCAAGTGCCCTTATGGACTTGGTACAAGGAGTATACCATGAAAATTCTACTTCAGCAAAGGTAAGAACGTAGTAGTCATTATAAAATGTTAGGTTAAAAACCCTGGTGGCAAAACGAGGATTGATGAGCAAAAATGTCATTTTTGTTTTGTGTTTAAATTGCACATGACATTTTTTTTTAGATTAGTGTTTTGGCTACAAATTCATGGCCATACGCTTAGTACATAGCAGATTTAGCCAATTAAAACAACCTCTTATCCCCTAGCTGGATTCACAGTCTGTTCAATCTGCAGCAGCCCAGTAGACACCAGGATTTTGCTGGCTGGCAGGTAGCACTGTCATGGACAAGCAAGATGGAGGAGCAGCTCGTGCTGAGGTGACTGGGCCTAGTCTCTCCCCGGAGGAAGGGGCCTTCCATGTCCCAGAGGAGTAGGCATGATTTCAAGATGGCTGTTGGGGGTGTGAGGGAGGACTATCTTTTATATCCAAGATCCAGAATTTGCTGCATTATTAAATTCTCTATGATAAGAAGTAGAATGGTTGCACAGTTGGATTATTTTGATAAATTTTATAGGTCTAGAATTAAGGGNCCATGAAAATTCTACTTCAGCAAAGGTAAGAATGTAGTAGTCATTATAAAATGTTAGGTTAAAAACCCTGGTGGCAAAACGAGGATTGATGAGCAAAAATGTCATTTTTGTTTTGTGTTTAAATTACACATGACATTTTTTTTTAGATTAGTGTTTTGGCTACAAATTCATGGCCATACGCTTAGTACATAGCAGATTTAGCCAATTAAAACAACCTCTTATCCCCTAGCTGGATTCACAGTCTGTTCAATCTGCAGCAGCCCAGTAGACACCAGGATTTTGCTGGCTGGCAGGTAGCACTGTCATGGACAAGCAAGATGGAGGAGCAGCTCGTGCTGAGGTGACTGGGCCTAGTCTCTCCCCGGAGGAAGGGGCCTTCCATGTCCCAGAGGAGTAGGCATGATTTCAAGATGGCTGTTGGGGGTGTGAGGGAGGACTATCTTTTATATCCAAGATCCAGAATTTGCTGCATTATTAAATTCTCTATGATAAGAAGTAGAATGGTTGCACAGTTGGATTATTTTGATAAATTTTATAGGTCTAGAATTAAGGGTTTTTTTGACTCATTTAGCAGGACATCTCAAGAAGGGTTAGGTTTTATTTCCTTAAAATGCAGTTATTTCATTTCAGTAGGATATTGAATGTGAAGCAATTGCTTCATTGACCACCACCATCATTTAACATGGTATATACCGTTATAAGGGATTCCTATCTTAGTGTTTCATTATTCTAACTTCTTTAGCTTCTGTATTAGCAAGATTTCACTCACTGCAAATTAGAAAAAATATGCTTGTGTGCATATCTTAAGCTTTTTGACATTTCCATTTGAGAAAGAAAAAAAAAGACAAGTTTTACTGGAAGTGAAACATAGGACATAAGCAACTTTAGAAATTTAAAAGTATAACCCAGGGACTCTGAATGGTTCAGAGAGTGGTTAGTGAAATGTGAAGAATTGCACCCCGGACAACTGCTAATATTTGGTTCAGGGAACTAAAATTCCCAGTAGACGCATCTAACTTCACCTAAGCAGCATAGTGGTCTGTGGGACCTGACAGGATATATGACCACAGTGGTCTCCCTTTGCTGTGTTTTTTCAAAATATACCATAGTTCACCATGGTTAAGGGTTAATAGAAAATTGTAAAATGAAGGACTCCTGGTCTAGTTCCATTAATAGAAAGTCATCCTGTATACAGTATGATGAAAATGGTGATAGCTAAGCAAATGACACTGTGGTAAGTATTCACCTACTGTGTTTTTTCACTTAATCATCACAGAAATCCTACTAGCAGACACTACTTCTGTCCCCATTTTACATATGTGAAAACGGAGGTTTGAAAAAGATTAAGTGACTTGCGTATGGTCACACAACTTGTTAGTTGAGGTTTGCACTCCAGAGCTCAGGCTTTTAACCTCACACTTCACTGCCTGTATACCTTAATGAAACCTGATTTGTTAGCACCCATCTGCTATACCTGAGATCCCACCATATGGCACTTAAGGCACTGGTTTCCCCTGGGATGTTTCCTAGGTGTTCAACTTAGTTTGATGAAAAATATTAATATTTTACAATTAAATATCTGTTAATTTTTAAGTGAAAGTGTTATTGGTTTTAAGGTTCTTGATTTATCTATCCACTCTAACCATTTTTTTCACTATAATTAGCCCAGTTCATTAATAATTTTGTGAATCTTCGTTAACTATTTTCTGTATGTTAGGAAGACCTAATAGCAACAACAATAAATGCTTAGAT